TACATCCTGTTCTGGATCATTCTGCTGATGAGCTACACTATAAAAGTTTGTTGTTCCCAAAGACTGGGGTTTTTTTCACACTATAAAAGGGGTGACTGCTGCTTCTGCTCAAGAAGTGTCATGGAAATTCTACTCAATATTGATCCAGAGCAGATTCCAATGTATAATTAGCAGAGTAAAAACTTAAACACGTTGCAGGATTCCCAAAAAATAGACCAGAGGCAATTAATATTTCATCCAGCAGAGCTTTGCTGCTACTGAAGGCAAATGAGTATAATGGTCACAAATCAAATATATTCAGGATTGGCACTGTCCATAAGAAATCCAGTTGCAGCAGACTTAATTTAAAGTTACAATAACTTACAATAAGTTTAAACCATAACACTATACGTATACTTTACAGAACACCACACCAGAAGGAAAAGAGCTGGAAAGAGAAAGTGAGACCCAGGCTTCTTCTGGCCCTACTTTCATAGTCAGCATGACCTTGACAGAAGAGATAAGAGAACCAGCTTAAGCCAACTGTACGCAGTCTCTCTGAAGGAATAACCCAAACATCATGAACCTTCCGCTTGTTTCTTTCACACAGAGAAGCTTCCAGAACCCTCTTGAATTAAGTAGAATAGAAAAGATCTCACATCAGATCAATAATTTCTCCACCAAGAAATGCAAACTGACAAGAAGTGCCACTTGAGTTTGGGAGGGCTACAGTCCATTTCCCTAAATGGTCAAATGCTGAAGAGATACTGAACAGCAGAATTCCCAAATAATGCTCTGTTTTTAACCTTTGTTTCACTTATGTGGCCCTGGTGAGCAAGGTGGGATATGGGGTGGTGGAAGGGACAGTGATGGCCTCAGCATGGCATCCTGCTGGTTGTCAACATTAGCCCTGGGCCTTCTCGGCCAGCATGACTACACCAGGCTCTAGTTTGGAACCTTGAATTGGAATGGTTTGAATGAACCTACCTCTATACAGGATCCTAATTAAGTTTCAGCTCCATAAACCAGTGTTGTGCTTTTCATTGCTATAAATAAAAGAGCCCCTTAGGGCTGGGCTACCTACGTTGTACCACAGTTGGCTTCCCTCCCACGCTATTATTCTGCTGTGCCACTTCCCTTCTGTGAATTTAAAGCCAAACATCTAAACAAAGCTGTTATAGTCAATGTGATGCATGATTAGATTTCAAATTGTTCTTTGTTCTTGCAAATACAGTAAAGTGAGGGCTCAAATAGCCCAGCCCTTCTAATAACCTTACATGATAACACTAAGTTGCAAAATTGCCTTGTCATGCCTCTGATGGAGAGAGCAAGGAGTGTTTAGTGTGTGGTGGCACTAGGACAAAAGGACATCTGCATACCAAGTTTTAATAAATTTATGGTCGATACCCTGAATTGTGAAGCAGCCCTTAACAACAATTTATATTCAGCACATGATCTTAACTGAGGGGGGAGAGGTTCTTTTGAAACCACTGGATATTATTTAATGCGGCAACAATTCAGATCCATGAAAAACCTCACTAATGAGAAATTAAAAACTAAGCAGACCATGGAACTGGAAGAATTCTGATTTATGACTCAGGAGTAACAGGTCAGCAGCCATTGCTCTGAAAATAGGTGGAAACAAGAGGGCCTATCAGTTTGAATTTCATTACCATAGATCCTGGAAGACAAGATTGGTAAAAATAAATGAATAGGGAAGGGCCGTAATTCAGTGGAGAAGCATCTCTTTTGCACACAGATGTCAATTCAATCCCTGACATCTCCAGAAAAGAATGAGAGAGACCCTTTTTTGAAATTATGGATACATGTTTTATTTGTTTGTTTGTTAAATTTCTATACTGCCCTTCATCCAAAGCTCGTAATATAAAAACACAAGATACACAACATCGTAACAAACAAAAATCACCCCCCACACCCAGTTTAAAAGGCAATGTAGACAATATTGAGCTTGATGGATCAATAATCTGACTCAATATAAGGCAGCTTCCTATATTCCTTTTTTAAAAATCTGAGACTAATAATGATTATGAGAATGAAGGAAGCGCTATAACTCAGATGCAGAACACATGCTTTACATCTACAAGATGCCAACCCAAATCTCTGATATCTCCTGGTATGGCTGAGAAATACCCCAGTCTGAAAACTTCCATAGCCAATGATAGCCAGTGCAGACCAAGTATAGCCAATGGGGTGCCCTCCACCATTTGCTGGACTGCAGTTCCCATCATTCCCAGTCATCATGGCCAAGGCTCAGGCCTGATGGGGCTTGTAGTGCAAAATATCTGCAGATCACCAGGTTGGGGGAGGCTAGTGTAGGAAATAATGAGCTGGATGGAGCAATGGTCTGCCTTAGCAGAAGACATCTTCCTCTGTCCCTGTCACAGGAAGAAACAGAAACAGACAAATCCTGGGGAAATATGGCAATCGTCAGTGTTTGTGAATAACAGCAGAACTGCTGGATTGGTTATTGTGGCTGAAGATTGTTTTCAGCAATGACAGGTGATGCTCATTCAGCTCAGTCTTGCTTATTCCTATATATGTTTTTCTATTCATAAGGTGGTGCTGTGGTCTAAAACACTGAGCCTCTTTGGCTTGCTGATCAGAAGGTCACCAGTTCAAATCCACATGACGGGGTGAGCTCCCATTTCTGTGTTCCAGCTTCTGCCAACCTAGCAGTTTGAAAGAATGCCAGTGCAAGTAGATAAATAGATACTGCTGTGGTGGGAAGGTAAACTGCATTTCCGTGCGCTCTGGCTTCTATCACGGTGTTCTGTAGCCCCAGAAGCGGTTCAGTCATACTGGCCACATGACCCAGAAAGCTGTCTGTGGACAAACACCAGCTCCCTTGGCCTGAAGCAAGATGAGCACCACACCCCATAGTCACCTTTGACTGGACTCAACCATCCAGGGGTCAGTTACCTTTTTACCTTACACATAACAGTGCTATTATTCTTATTCTTTTGCTATGATATTATTATTGTTTTGCTATTATTTATGTATTTATGTATTTTAAATATTTTATAAAAGAAAAATATTTAAATGATTCAAAATACAACAATGAAAATCATTTACGGTGGTACCTCGGTTTACGAACTTAATCCATTCCGGAAGTCCGTTCTTAAACTGAAACTGTTTTTAAACTGAGGTGCTCTTTCCCTAATGAGGCCTCCCACCACCGGTGCCCTTCCACCGTTCAGCTTCCATTCTTACACTGAGGTAAAGTTCGCAAACCGGGACACTACTTCTGGTTTTGCGGAGTTTGTAAACCTAATAGTTTGTAAACAGGGCTGTTCTTAAACCGGGGTACCACTATATATTACTGTTTTCATTCTCTGTATTTTAAGTCTATCATGTCATGTATGTATGTGATGTTAATGGTTATTGTGTTACCGTGTTCCAAACCACCCTGTGGCCTTTTGATGGAGAGTGGAATACATTTATTGAGTCATTTAACAAATGATACTCACAAGCTCTTGGCTAGTGCAGTTCCCTGTCTCAAAGCATTGCCCTGACAGCCAAAATTGTCTCTGGAAACAGCACCAGTGAAGCATTAGTGATGGGTAGACTCCCTACCTCTAATCCAATTTGTCTGGTAATCTGAGTTCAACAAGCTGGTTCCCCCTGACCTGAGAGACCATAAAAGCCCAGTTTCTTTGCCAAAGTCTGTGCTGTCTGGAGTTGTTAGTGCTTTCATGCTGTGGTGCCCCATGCATGTGGATTGCCAGATTAGCTCTGAGGCATGTAGCTTGCTTACTTTAACACAGGCACTGAATGTGTAGCCCAGCATATTGCTGTTTAAGTCATGTTGCCACACACTTCAGGATTGGTTGCCCGTTCACCTTTTCAAGCAGGTAGACAGTGCTCTTCAATCTTGGGTCCCCATATCTGGTTCGACCATCATACCCATTGTCCCCAGCCAATTTTGCCAACAGTCAGGGTTTAGTCCAACAACATCTAGGGACCCAAGAATATTGTGCAGAAGCAAAATATGTTGCCCCACCCCATTTTCTGCCTAAATTATGATGCTGGAAGGGGAAGGTAGAGGAGGCTTTCATACTTTCCAGGATAAACTCAATATAAAGTAATCATGTGCAGCAATTTTTCACTGCTGACAAGGATAAATTAAATAGGCTAATAATTTTCTTTGGGGCAATACCACATATTCCTTGGGGCAATCTTTAAGGACACATTTTAGAGTGTTATAGCCATTTATGGATAAGGGCTCATGTTCTAAATTGATTATTATGTTATTGAAATATGATTTGACTTTCAGCGTTAGATGTGCCATTAAGAAAAATTGAAATCTGTTCTTTGATTAATTGCTTTTATTATGCAAACTTTGTTAATAACACCTGTATTTTGTAAATAAATAAATAAATAAATAAATAAATAAATTTCCTCACCCAAAATTGCACAGAATCTAGTTGTGCATTTCACTGTGCAGTCTGATCTTAATGCCAGTCTGGCTTACTTGTACCTAACTCTGAATAAGATAGTCAAATCTGCCTGTATCTTTGCCTAAATCTTTTCCCTCACCATTAGTAGTGGGTCAGACTGCTGGCTGGGGTTCTTTTCAGATCTTATGCAATCCCTAAACAGCTAAACTGGTTGCCAGTTCATTTCCAGGCCCAGTTCAGGGGGTTCATGTTAGTGTTTTAAGCTCTAAATGATTCATGTCCCCAATACCTGAGATACCACTTCCTTTCCTACAGACCCTCTCAGATACTAAGTTTGTTGGAAGGTGCCCCCTTGGTAGTTCCATCACCCTCAGAAGCTAATGGGGTGGTGGTGGGTGGCCCGGGAGAGAGCATTAAATGGGGCAGCCCCTAAATTGTGGAACTCCCTCGCCACGGAGGAACATCTGGCACTTTCATTAGACAGCTTTCAGTGACTTCTGAAAATGCATCTGTTCACCTGGCTTTAAGAAACAGACTCATAGTTGGAAGGGACCCTGAGGATCATCTGGTCCCACCTTCTGCAATGCAGGAATATGCTGCTGTCACTTACGGGGATTGAACCTGCAACCTTGGCATTATCAATGCCATGCTCCAATCAATTGAGCTTTATGTAATTTCAAGTTGTTTTAAACTGCTTTTAATTTTGTGTAATATTATATTTTGATATTAATTTTGTGCGTTTATTTATTTCATACAATTTCTACACCACCTGATTGAAAAGAAGCTCAAAGCAATTTATTTGTTGCAACCCACCCTTGGACCTTAGGGCGAAGGGCAAGTAATAAATTGTAATGTGATAATAATGATGATGATGACGATGATGTCTTTAATATTATGGTGTGCTGTATTCATGGAAAGCACTGGAACAAGTTGTGGAAGTGAGGGGTAGCCAAATGGTGATGGCCATATGTTATTGACCACTATTTTCATCATTCCTGACCAGTGGCCATGCTGGCTGGGGCTGATGGGAACTGGGAGACGAACAATATCTAAAAAGCGCTGCAATGACTGCACCTGGATTATCAAGTTATATAGTAACTAAGAACTTCAGTTATGTATCATGATGACTCTTCATGCCCAGTCATGCCCTGTTCTTTAAACCACATGGGTAACAGTAGTAACCACAGAGAAGCAGGAAGGAGGCTTTAGAAACTCTGCCTGACTTGTAGTATCATGGTTTCTATAAAATTGAATGAAATGAAATGCCTTGTCACATCCCACACGACTGATCAATCAACACCTCATCAACTGCAGGCATGGCTTTGACTTGTTATCTTTCACAGTTGTGGACAAGTTGCCTAACAGTTGGGTTTTCAATATCTTTATCTGACAGCTGTGTGGCTTATATTTAGCACAATGCAGCAATCTGAATGGGCAAACTAGTGTGCGTGTATTGAAGTGATGGGGATTGTTAAGCCTTTCTCCTTAGGAAATGTTGCTGACAAAAAATATTCTTGCCAAACTGCCTTTCCCTCTCACAAACACGCAGCTACGCAAATCATATTGTTTTCTAAATTCTCTTTAAGCATTCTCCTAAAACATACTAAGGTGAATTTCAGCAAGAGTGAGGGGTTAGCAAATTGTGCCCGTTGAGTCTACTAAAGCAACAACTTTCAGTCTTCTGTTGATAAGAGTGGAAGGCTGTTCTGAAGAACACAGAACTTCCAATGTACCTACATTTGGACCCACTAAACAGTTTAAGTAACACAAATGGTGGATCCATTTGTCCACTGTGTCCTATAGTTTCTGAGATTTGATTACAGTGGTCCCTCGGGTTAATAACTTAATTCGTTCTGGAGGTCCGTTCTTAACCTGAAACTGTTCTTAACCTGAGATACCTCTTTAGCTAATGGTGCCTTCAGCTGCCGCCATACGACTTCTGTTCTCATCCTGAAGCAAAGTTCTTAACCCAAGGTACTATTTCTGGGTTAGCAGAGTCTGTAACCTGAAGCATCTGTAACCTGAAGCATCTGTAACCCGAGGTACCACTGTATATATTTGTTGTCAAAACCTTTGCACCAAGTGACAACATTCTTATCATGGCAAGTTATACTAGGGTAAATAAATGGGTGCTCACAATCATCCATAGCCATTTGGTTTGGGCTCACAGAGTGCGTGAAGATACAGAACATACCTGCAAGTAGAAGTAGGGACCCTGTGGCCCTCCAGATGTTGCAATACTACTTTTGATCTTCCTTGACCATTGGTCATGCTGGCCAGGGCTGATGGAAATTTGGAGCCCAACAGCAACTGGTGGTTTACAGGTTTCCACCCCTCTCCTAGAAAAATGCATCGTAGTAATAGTAGTAGTAATGATTTTATTTTTTATACCCCGCCCATCTGGTTGGGTTCCCCTAGCCACTATGGGCGACTCCCAACAAAACACTAAAAACAGAATAAAACTTCAAACTAAATTAAAAACTTCCCTAAACATAGATATCTCGACGTTTCAAATGTCGAAGTATGTGGGTGTCTGTACTGCAGAAAAAATAGCAATACATATAATTATCCAATTACTGAGATGCATAAAAGTAGTACAGGTGAATGATGGCACTGCAGTGTTAATTGGAATCTCCAGGAGTGTTATGGGACTTTAATGACTTATTAAGAGGCAAAAAAAGAGAGGAAAAATTGCATATAACCTGATAAGAATAAAGGGGTATTTGCCTGTTTACAGGTAACTAATTTGGTAATTTAATATAGAAATAAAGGAGCTATCTGTCATAATTATTTTATACTTATATACAGGCTAATTCCCAAACTTTAATTTAACTTTTATGCTTCAATTTGTCATGTTTAGAGGAAGAACTATTCATGCAGCGATTCCATCAAGGCAGATAACAATCTGTTTAACATCCCTTCTGCAATATCTTCCATTCCATCGCCATAGCAGGGGACGTTGTTCTGAAACAAGTGGAAAAATCCTAAGGCTGCATTGCAGGGATGGTCCTGTACATATCAATAACTGCTGGTGTCTACAAAATTGTTTTACCTTCAATTGAAAAGAAACACAAAACTCATGATTTGCAGAAAAGGGCTCTCTCAATAAAGCAATTTGCATTTTTCTGAAAAACCTAATACTGTACAGTGGTACCTCGGGTTACATACGCTTCAGGTTACATACACTTCAGGTTACAGACTCCGCTAACCCAGAAATAGTACTGTCAAGGCTGCCTCAAGTCTTAGCTCACAAAAGACCAACGCCTCTGTCTTCTTATATACAAAAGTGTTTATTGCAGTTCATGGTTTGCTTGACATCCTAGGCGCGCAGCCTTACGTCTCTTACGCTAGACCGCCGAAGTCCCCTCTGAGTCAGTTCCTCCCCTGCACCAATTTAAGAGACTTGCGCTGCTCCACCTCTTTCTCTCCTTCCTTTTCCGCAGGGTCCTTCTGCCCACTGGGGTTTCGCCCCTCCTGGATTCCTCTGATGCGGAATCCCCAGACTGCTCTTCCCCCCTCCTGCTGGGTTGGGGACGGGCCCCCTCCCCCGGGCTCCCGGAACTCCCGCGCGCCTCTACATTTGAACCCGGCGCGCGCGCCAAACCTCTAACTGTCCTTTTGACAGGTACACTCCTCCCTTCACGGCTCCCCTCCCCTTCCGGGAGGGCGGCTTGCTCTGACCCCCCCTCCTTTCTCTGCTGCTGGAGCTGCTTCCTCTGACACACTGGAAACTCCACCCCCTTCGCTGCACTCTGGTGGGGAGGCTGGTCCTGACGCCCAGCTGCCACTTTGGGATCTTCCGCTGGCACCCTGCTCCTGACACTTCCCCCCTGGGGCTCCCCTGGCCTTGACCACCGGCGCCCCCTTCTGGGAATCCTCTGATTCGCTGGAAAGACTCATGGAATCTCTTGAGTCATTGTCATCCTCTTCCTCGCTGGCTTGGAATTCCTCCCCATCGCTCTCCATCTCCTGCCTACCCTGTGCCTCTCTCCCTGAACCCCTGACAAGTACCTTGGGTTAAGAACTTTGCTTCAGGATGAGAACATCCTGTGGCAGCAGCAGGAGGCCCCATTAGCCAAAGTGGTGCTTCAGGTTAAGAACAGTTTCAGGTTCTTGTGGAATATCTGGAAAGGAATGAAAGGCCTTTGTGACGCAGTTATAAAAAGAGCCTTGTTAGAGCAGGTCTGGCTACAGGTTTTATGATCGAGGGGGAGGAGACCATGGCTTGTTATTATATCGGACTGTGAGTTTGACCTGGCAGGACCCCCGGAGAAGATTAAGGAGAGACTGTCAGACCTGCGAGAATTAACGGGCAGACTTTAAGAATGTTTTGTACGGAAGTGCAGAAATGGGTCTGTCTGTTTGAATATGGCTCTTGGAGGAATAAAATCCACACAGGACATAATAACGTTTATTTTCAACCCGCTTGTGGAGACTATCAGAGGTCACAAAGAAAGGAATATATGACAACAAGAAGAAGATGAGGAAAATAATAAAGAGAAGATTGAACAGAACTGTGAATACTATCTGGACAGAACTGTGAATATTAAAGCAGCAGCAAGAGAGATGTTTGGATCCCTTTCTGAGCTCGAAGCATGGGTACCCCCAACAAAAATTTAAAAATTTGGCTGTGTAATTTGGAATTAATGTGATTTGATTGGTTTGTTAATAAAAATTATATTTTAAAAAAAGAACAGTTTCAGGTTAAGAATGGACCCCCAGAACGAATTAAGTACTTAACCTGAGGTACCACTGTACAGTGTTTGCTTTCCTTGCTTCAGTGATACATGTAGAATACTGGACTATGTAATTGATGGCTCCACATACATACATACACACACAAACACACCCCTCCCAGCTCAGAACACTATTTCTCAAATGACACTTCAAAAACTTTATTGCCCTGGAAGCTTGGCTGCTTGCCTCCAGATCAGCCTACAAAGACTGCTGCTGTATGGATATGTACTTGGGAATAAGTCCTGCTGAAGTCAATAAGATATACTTTTACATGAAATGGAATGCATTTGATTGAGCTTTTAGTGTATAAGTGTGGGTGAACCCTTTTGTAAGTAAGTTTTTATAAGCTACAAGTCATTTCTTCTAGAGATCAAATATAACTGCAAATATTCTCATGATTTTGGCCGTATCCACACTTAAAAGCACTGATATCACTTTAAGCAGTCATGGCTTCCCCCAAAGAATTCTGGAAGCTGTTGTATGTTAAGAGTGCTGACAGTTTTTAGGAACCTCCTATTCTCATCCCAGAGCTGCAATTCCCAGAGTTCCCTGCGAAGAATGATAGGCTGACAAACCACTCTGGAAACTGTAATAGCAAGAGTCACTGTCATTGCTTTTGGAATGGGAGCATGGCACCCATTTTTGGTCCCATTTGCAGTGCATGCTTTCAAGCTACTTCAAGGAGCAGCTTGAAGGAGGGAGAAGGAGGAGAAGGAAAAGGAGAAGGAGGAGAAGGAAAAGGAGAAGTCGAAGGAGAGGAAGAAGAAGAAGAAGAAGAAGAGGAAGAAGGGCAACCTTTAGGATTCACTGTGGAATCCAAAGACAAACTACTTTACAATCCATACATTTGTTCAGGATGTGGGGATCAGATGATGCAACAGATTCCTTAAGAATCCTTCAGCAAGAACCAAGGGAATGGAGTCAGAAGGAACAGTGTAGAGATGG